GTAGTGTTTTCTAGTTTTTACTAACATGAATTGTATAGCACATTAATCAGATCGTCACTTTTGTAAATATAACATTGTTCAATTTGTAAAACCTTAAATTCGACTTGTTCGTTTATTTAAATGAATCAAGTTTAAATAATTAATCGGACTTGTTCATTGAACGAGTTAAATAAAATTTGTTCAAAGATATTATATTTTATTCTTTGTAGACATTTTAAATTTTACTTATCTAAATGTCCAAGATAAAAATTTAAACAATTAGCAAATATATATCATTATATAAATTAATTTAAATTTATGTGTCAAACAAGCAATATTGTGATAAATTAGTCCATTTTTAGGACTATATCATCACTTAAATAAAGCACAATTATCAAATATGGAATATATACTCTCAATCTCTCCTCTTGAATATAATATTCTATCAACAAGCATGTCCCAACACTTTCATATTAAGCAGTTTTGCTGTGGAGCAATAGAATTGACTCGATTTATGGAGTCATCTACAATTATTCACAAATAATATGCTGACACGTGTCCTACAATAAATATATTTTGGACACATGTCAATACGTTTAGTGATCGATGGCTCTATAAAAAAACCATCCGATAGATCCATAGAATTTTTGTCATGCAAAAATTATTCATTTTTGTTTATTAAACTAATATTTTATTTAAATTAAAAGGAAATATTTGTTTTTCATAAAAATACCATTCATTCCATTGCAACATTTTTCTACAAATTCAATCAATTAAAAATAATAATTACTATATATATTTTACAATAATATATTATTTATCCACTCTCGTACTTTTAAATCTTAAGATAATATATTTTACAATAATATATTATTAAAAATAGTATAAATTAATATTTTTATCATTTCATATGAAATCAAATTTAATAATTGTACTGTAGTAATAATTTTAAAAAATTTTATTTTTCTAAAGTATATATAAATTTTATTTTTCATTTAAATATAATAATAACAATTTTTTTTTCCAAAAATCATAAATTTAAAGGGCCATAGAAAAATCAATAATTTAAAGGAAATAGAAACCATAGAAAAATCAGAAAAGCATAACTGAGGCACCCACACGCATAAATACACACACATATACATACAATGGCTGCAGCTTCAGCAGCACCACTCGCCGCCGTAAACGGAGCTGTGAAAATGACCACGACGTCGCAGGCATACTTGGACGGCGGCAAAGTCAGGGAGACTAGGGCCTTGATTTCCGAGCTGTGCCGCCAATTTTATCATCTGGGCTGGGTTTCCGGCACCGGCGGCAGCATCACCATTAAGGTTCATGACGATTCCATTCCCAAGCCCCATCAGCTTATTGTCATGTCCCCATCAGGTAAATCTGTAGTTCTTGTTTATACATAGCTGTGTGGTGTTTTCTGGTTGAGAATTTGAGATTCTATTGTTATATTCCCATCCTTTGTTTTTTTTTTTTTTTTTTTTT